TTAATAATAGCATAGGTACGTTCAGGTATAACAGTAGGAAAACTATAGCATTTGTAATGGTGTCTGCAATGAAATCTACGTCATCTGTATAGTGAATATCGGTCAACTTTTTTAACAGGATACCCAATTGAGAATCTTGGGTATAAATTAAAAATGATATAATGATGTTTGCCGATGGAACAGTTTGTATTGTATTGTATTTTGAAGCCTATGAATTTTGTTAGAGGCATTGACATGTTGTCGAACATCGTTAGCTGCATTTTCTAGATTATGTAGCAGAGTTATGGAATTGGTAATGGCACAGTTCTACTACGTAATCTAGGAGAACTCTGCCATTACCGATATTACACGTCTCCTAAATGATCTAGAAAATTCTGTCAATGTCTCATAGCGAAGTTTTATTCAATTCACTTTGACGACTGTCCAATAGGGAAGCTGACTTTGGAAAACTACTATTACATTCAATGTAAAAGTTGGACCTTGACATGATAAATAAACATACAACATATTTTTTTTTTCAAATTCATAGCATTTTTTGAAGAAATGAGTTTGAAGATCAAGTTTAGGTTCAAAATCATAGTGATCAGTAAAATCCTTATGGCACAACCTTATAAAAATTATAATTTACTGAAGATTTACAAATTTTATATGGACAAGATGCATGACACAAGCACATTATTACTAAATCATTATGCCGTCAAATAAAACCTTTATTTACTTCAAAGGGAAGTTATACTATTTTAAAACAATTTAGCTATATTATGATTTAATATATAGTGCAGTAATTTTAATGGAATTTTCAATAAACAATGCAAATGTAAATCATTTCGTCTATTAATTTGTACCTAGCAATATTATGATTTAATATATAGTGCAGTAATTTTAATGGAATTTCAATTTGTAAATCATTTCGTCTAATAATTTGTACCTAGCAATATTATGGTGTAATATACATTTTATCTAATTTTGCTTCTATTAATAAGATCTAACAAATGATGTAGGATCTTATTCATAGTGTAGCCCTTTTCGTAAGCTTTTACAATTTTTTACATAGTTTTACTTATCAAATACAGTAAATAAATTGCATGTATTGCTTATGGTGATTGATTAGGATATATATTCAATTCAATGTATTTAATACAAAATATATCAACTTTGTATTTATTCTTGAAATAGTAAAATTTTGAAAAACTTTCCTATCCACCATCGGCATGGCTGATGCCAGACTCATGAATAGATTGCGCTTTTTGCCCTCACTTTGTCATCTGACTTGAAGTGAAAGCCTACACTGAATCAATAGCTGCATCTGCTGTAAGGAAATTTGGGTCACTGTGCCGTGCCAAAAGGTATTTCTCGTCAGAGTCCATCTTACACATTTACAAATCTACCATACGTCCATGCATTCACTACTGCTGTCATATTTGGTCGGGTGCTCCTGCTACTCTCGAGGTTCTTGACAAGTTCCAAAGAAGTATTTGCAATCTCACCGACGTGACATGGCTTCCCTCTCTCTTTTCTACAAATATTTTCATGGCAACTGACGAGCTTTTTTTCCCTGGTGCCCGGATGACTTGAGTTTAAGCTTGCTACTAAGTTGGCATCTAGGTCCCGCATTTTTATGACTGAATTAGGTAAATGTAACTTTCACTTCTATTGCAATTATTTTTCTTACACTTCCTGCTTGTGGAATTCCATTCCGTTTCCTTGGTTCCCTGATAAGTGCAATCTTCAAAAATTTAAATGCAACGTCAGTCGCCATCTTCTATCTTTTTGAACCCCGTTCAGCTCTTATCCTTTCCTCGGTCCCCTCTATACGCAGTCTTTTCTCTCATCTTCACTTTCTGTAACTCCCTGCGTACAAGTGGCGTTGCTTGGGCTGAAATGATTAAAACAAAAACAACGTTTATATTTCTGAGATGAGATATTATGTACATTATTTACATTATTCGGACTATTGTCCTTATCTTTATCGCCATATTTATTACAACGTTTCGGCCTTTCAGTATCTGTCTATATTTCTGAGATGAGGTATTATGTACACTATTTACATTATTCGGAGTATTGCCCTCATCTTTGTCGCCATATTTACTACAAAGTTTTGGCCGTTGTACGTTCCGGCCTTCTTCAGGTGGAACTAAAACAGTCTACCCCAGTGAGCGAAATAAAGGGTTCAGTTCGGCATTCCAGCCACCTGAAGAATGACGGCGGTGTAACGGCCGAAACGTTGTAATAAATATTGCGACAAAGATGAGCACAATAGTCAGAATAATGTAAATAGTGATCTTTTTATGACTATTGAAGATCAACTCAGATGAACTGAGTTTCCGCTTCCTTCTAAAATTTACTTCAACGATATTTCTAACGTCCACGCCAAAACAACAAAATTTTATTTACAATTTATTTCTTTTCTTTAATAGAACTTGGTAGGTTTACCTATCGTTCGCTATCTTTTTGAACAGGTGTAGAAGATTCCTGTTTAGGATTGTTTTCCCGGTTCCTTTCAAAGTGTCGTCTGTTTTGCTCCCTGGAACCCCTTATGTTTTTGTGGCATTCTCGCTTTGCTTGAGGGGAGTTTACTAACAAAATTACTATCCTTTGTCACACTTAATAATGTCAGTTAGGTGACCTGCTGTCTTCCACTGTCACTTTCGCCTTCGACATACCTTGTGGGGGTCAAATTTCCGAAGCCTTTTTCCCCTCATTATGTGTCCTAGAAATTTCAACTGCCGCTTTCTGGTTCGAACTATAAGTGGTCTTATTTCTTTTTTTTTTAAAACATTTTCTTTAAATCTTATTGTTCCGTTTAAAGTATCCTCCGCATCTTTCAGTTGAAACACGTTTCTGTTACCTTAGTTTTCATTTCATCTGTAAGGAAATTGTTTAGCATTCATTGCGATATTGGAAGGTGAACAAGTAAGAGGCGCACGAGGGAAAGAAAAACCGCTACGCACCTTTGCGTTCGACTGCGTGGAAAAAAATGGACATGTAATGTGCTACCGATTGAGGTCGGGTGGCGGGTATTCCTTGTACGGTCAATTGTTTCCTTCCTTTTCAAGGTTGGCATCACTGGCCAGAACCTAAAGCATACTTCACATAATCTCCACGCCACATCTCAACAGGCATCGAATTGGATCCAGTCAGGACCTAAAATAAAGTTAAATAAAACCATAACCGCACAATAATGCTACTTCCGACTTGAAATACATGTGTTTACATTACTTTCTGCGTCATTAATAACTGTCGAGAGCTTTGTGTATTTTAACACAACGTTGAGAATTTCAGATGCAGTTGTTAAATCGCAAAAGACTGACACGTATTCAAAAACAATACCCTGTTCGGTGGCACCAGGGGTGCCAATACCGCCTTAGCAACCGAAACTGTGTTACCTCCCTTGGTTAGCGGCTGAATGCAGAAAATAGTATTGATAGTTCAACACTATTTTCTTTATTTATAACGACATTTTTTCTGTTTCTTAATACTTTGCTTAGCTTTTGCGATGCACCTTTGCTATTTCGATGCGTGTTAAATTTTTGCTATCAAATTTTCCACCATCTATTAAAACATTTCTCATGAACTTGTTTTATTTTGACATCTCTAGTACGGACTTCGCAACTTGAGCTTTTTCTCTTACTGACATTCATTCTTCTGTCAGTTGATAGTTAGTCCTTTCTTCTTGCTTTCATTTACGACCCTATTTGGGATTTTTTGCAGTTTTCTTCTGTCTTTGCGATCAGCATAATATCATCTTTGTATTATATATTGTTAAAATTGCGTCTACTGATAATAAGTTATATTTCTGCTAGAGTCTCTAGCCCTCCTTAGGATAGCCTTACTGTATAAATTGAATGAATCCGGCGAGAAGACACATCCTTGTCTTACGCACGTTTCTCTTTTTTTAAATCAGAAAGATGCCAGTATAAGTTCTGATTATTCTAACATTTATCCCAAGTAAATGTTGGAAAAAAAAAGATAGGTTCCTTTATTTGACCCTCGTTAAAGTCAGCCTTGTGCCACATCATTCTTTGTGGGGAGGCAGGTAAATACCGTCGAGCTGGTGTCTGCGAGACTAAAGGCCTTCCGATAGCAGCAAGCACACAACTGTACTGACTTGCGACGACCGTTTTCATAATTGTTACTTCCTTGCTTGTTGTACTGGTTTCTATAATAAACCTGTTACTATTAATCCAGCCGTTAGTGATAAAGGCAACTCAAGACTTCAATTTAAACCTGTTACTATTAATCCACCATGTTTGTCCATTCCATATTCCTATTAGCACGGAATATAACAATAGTACAATAGACCATGTTTTTGTGACCCGTATATGTGGCCGTTAGTGATAAAGGGCAACTCAAGACTTCAATTTAAACCTGTTACTATTAATCCACCATGTTTGTCCATTCCATATTCCTATGAGCACGGAATATAACAATTGTACAATAGGCCATGTTTTTGTGACCCGTATATGTGGCCGTTAGTGATAAAGGGCAACTCAAGACTTCAATTTAAACCTTTTACTATTAATCCACCATGTTTGTCCATTCCATATTCCTATTAGCACGGAATATAACAATAGTACAATAGACCATGTTTTTGTGACCCGTATATGTGGCCGTTAGTGATAAAGGGCAACTCAAGACTTCAATTTTAACTAAACAATATTTAATTACAAACTGCAAATAAATACGTAACACAAAGAAAAGTCAATCAAGCTTATTAACAAATTCAGTGAATATATTTTAGTAGCGCGGCTCGCTTAACGCCCAAAAGTCACTCAATAATCAACTAGTAATCAACAGTAAATCATCGACTAGTAATCCGACCAATATTCAACTCGTAGTCCCGACCAGTCAGTAGCCTGACACCGCTGTTTATACACCTGGCGAAAAACATATTCACAAGTTCAGTGTGTCACGTTCGAACCTTGGTGTCGGCAGTTACTCATTTTCTTCCTATATGACACCTTACCATAGACAACTATCGACGTGGCCCAACATCTCAGATGTCGCCAAACCATTTGGGGAATCTCTGCAACTATACTGTATATTGCCCGGGTAAATGGTTCCTAAGCGATGCCATTCTATACTGTTTGGCACATAAGTGTATATATGTGTTTGTGTAAATGGATACACCGTTTTTATGTATATATGTGAGTGCAACGGTACACTACTGACACTGTTTCCGTTTCTACGTGTTTTAAGTGTGAAACAGATAAATTTTGTTTATAGATGTCATGTAAAAAGTGATTCCAGATTCTAATCATCGCTATAAACTGTTTGGATTGATGCTCAACCCAAAATTTAGCATTAATTAGTTTTGTCTTATGCGCCATTTTTATTTTCTTTTTTTCTATCTTTCCTTTCTTTCTCTTCTTTCATTCGATTACACATTTCCTTCTTTCTTTCTTTCTTTCTTTCTTTCATTTTATTAGACTTTTTCTTTTATTTCTTTCTCTTTTTTATCGCGTTGTCTTTCTTTTTCTTCTTTCGTTCGATTACATTTTTCTTTCTTTCTTTATTTTCATTTGTTCGATTACACTTTTCCTTCTTTCTTCCTTTTTCTTCTTTTCTTTCTTTTTCTACTTTCGTTCGATTACACTTTTCCGTATATTTTTCCTTTCGCTTTCTCTTTTTCTTTCACTCTAACTTTCCGTTACTTTATTCTTTCTTTCTTTCTTTCTTTCTTTCTTTCTTTCACAACATTAAAGGTTTTACGTTTTCGTTTTTTTTCTCGCTGACTTCAATCCATTAAATCTTCTTTCTTTTCTTTCTTTTTTCTTCCTTTCTTCTTCTTTTTAGCTTTTCCCACCAAAATCTTCGTTTATTCTTTCTTTCTTTCGAGCTCCCTTTCTGTTTCTTCTCTTTCATTTCTATTTTCTTTTCACCAACTACCTTTCAGTTTGTTTACCCTTTCTTTTTCTCTCCTTCCTTTTTTTCTTTTTACGTGCTATCTTTCATTTATTGCCCCTTACTTCTTTTATTTAACCACTCCCTTTTCAGATCGTCTTTTCTACCTTTGACGTGTTCAACTTGTTCTCGTTCTTTTTCATCGCCGCCTTTTTCACTTTTACTTCTTCCTAAATTTTTGCTTCAGTTGTTCACATTTGTATCTTATTCAGCCTTTTCTCATTTTCTCTTCTTCCTCTTTTTATTTATCTTCCTTCTTCTTCATCATCTTCATCTTCTTCATCTTCTTCTTCTTCTTCTTCTTCTTATTATTATTATTATTATTATTATTATTGCTATTCTTTTTCTTTCTTTCGAGCTGTCTTTTCAATTTTGTATTTTTCATTTGTCATTCGTACCATCTAATTTTATCTTTCATTTATTCCTTTTTTTACTTTCTCCTTTCTTTTTTAAATTATTCTCAAATCCCTTTTGAGTTCGTTTTTCTTTTCTTTCTTTCCTCGCGTCTTTTTCATTTTTATTTTATTTCTCCTTCATCGTTTGTTTCTATATTCTTTTTTTTTTCTTCGACTTCATTATCTTCTTCTTCTTTATCATCCTTTCCATTATCTTATTATTATTATTCATTTTGTTCTTCTTCTGCTTTTCTTCTCCATCTTCTTCTTCTTCTTCTTCTTCTTCTTCTTCTTCTTCTTCTTCAATATCTTCTTCAATATCTTCTTTGTCATCCTTTTCATTATCTTATTATTATTACTATTCATTATGTTCTCCTTCGGCTTTTCTTCTTTGTCGTCTTCTTCATTATTCTTTATTAACTTCTTCTACGTCATCATCTTTTTTTTCTTCTTTATCTTCATCTTCTTCTTCATTATCTTATTATTTTTCATAATATTTTTCCAGTTCCTCATTATCTCGTTCTTATTTTTCTTCTTCTTCTTCTTTATCATCTTCTTCATTATCTTATTGTATTTATTCATTATGTTTTTTATTCTTCGTCTTCGTTATCTCCATCTTTTTATTCTCCTTCGTCTTCATTATCCCATTATTTTCTTTCTTTCTTTCTTTCTTTCTTCTTCTTCTTCTTCGTTCTCTCCTTCTTTTTCTTTCTTTCTTTCTTTCTTTCTTTCTTTCTTTCTTTCTTCTTCTTCTTCTTTCTCTCCTTCTTTTTCTTTCTTTCTTTCTTTCTTGCTTGCTTGCTTCTTCTTCTTCATTATCTCCTATTTTTCTTTCTTTCTTTCTTTCTTTCTTTCTTTCTTTCTTTCTTGCTTCTTCTTCTACGTTATCTCCTTCTTTTTCTTTCTTTCTTGCTTCTTCTTCGTTATCTCCTTCTTTTTCTTTCTTTCTTTCTTTCTTTCTTTCTTTCTTGCTTGCTTGCTTCTCCTTCTTCGTTATCTTCTTCTTTTTCTTTCTTTCTTTCTTTCTTTCTTTTCTTTCTTTCTTTCTTGCTTGCTTGCTTCTTCTTCTTCGTTATCTTCTTCTTTCTCATCTTCTTCATCATCTTATTATTATTCTTCATTATGTTGTTGTTGTTTCTTTTCCTCTTATTCTTCCTTATGTCCTTTTTTTCTTCTTCTTCATTACCTTCTTCTTCCTTTTCATTAACTGCATTTCCTAATGATACCATTTCCTGTGTTAAGCCAATACCTATATTCTCCGGTAACCATCCATACCTGTCCAAATGAAATAGAGACCCCCTAACCCGCTTCATACGTAGATAAATATCTTGAACAGCTTTTCCCTTTTTCTTTTCCTTCTTCCTTATCATTTATCATTTCCTTGTTTTTGAATTAATAAAAACAAACATCATCCAAATCACCCACATTAAAATGGCGTCCTGTGCTGCTCTCCACAAAAAAAAAAGAAAAAAAAAGCGTTTTATTTACGATGTTTATTGCTAGAAGATATGAAAAAAAAGATATCAATGAGAAGATTTCAAGTTAGATATCACAATAATCTAGTAGGAATTGAAGTCCTGTCAGAATTCGTTATTGACTGTCGCAGTTGTTGACATAAGATATGCAGTTGACACATACAGAAAACTGCAGGAACTCTTAGAGAAGTTAGTAAAGGAAAGTTAGAAGAAAGGTTTAAACGTCAATAGTAAAAATTCAGAATGTATGAATATCAGTAAAAGAGAACACCCAACACGCAAATAAAGAATTGGGGACACCAAAATCATGCAATTACGAAAATTCAAATCTCGGTTCGTTAAGGTTAAACTGGCAGCTGATCTAAAAATGATCTACAATTTGTTATTTGATGGAGTAAAAATGACTTAAAGGACTTTAAACGATACTGCTCTTTTAATTGCCTTAAAAGAAAAAGCCGATATCAATTTTCAGGCGAACGATTCTTTACGCGATCTCTGGAAAATATTTTTCGATGGCATGAAGTGGAAAGATTAAATTGAATCAATTTCTGCGTCTGTTGATAGAAAAGTTGGTTCACTGCGTCGTAGCAGACAACCTTTCTCTCCAGAATTTATCTTAAGTAGTTATGTTTACAATTCGTTCAACTTTTGAATAGTGCTGTCACCGCTATGTATTTTCGAATCAAGATTTTCGTCACCTCTCATTGCTGTAATGTACAGTGTAACCCGGATATAAGAGAGTTGTCGGGACCGGAGAAGAAGTCTCTTATATCCGGGTTTCTCTTATATCCGGGTTTGGTCTATTATATACATTAACACAGGCTCTAATTTGGGACCAGATCTCTCTCATATCCGGGTTTCTCTTATATCCGGGTTACACTGTAGTTTCTCTGTGTCTTTTTTATAAATATTTTCATGTTGCCTTTTTTCGATGGTTGCTAAACGTTTCGAGGGGAAAGACCTTCTCTAATGAAAATTATAATCAAGAGTTCAAAATTTGGTATTCGTTTGTTCTCTTCTACCTGACTCGCCATAATCAGATGAATTTGCACCAACCGCTTATTCCATTTTTTGATCGCTGCAAAACGATTTGAGGGGGGAAAATTGCTCTAATGAAAACCATATTCAAGAGTTCGCCGAAAACGTATGTCTACATAAAAGCTTGGGAAATGTTAATCAAAATGTAAGGAAGAGTTATGTGATAAATAGCAATATGTCACTGTAAATAATGGCGATTCCTTAAATGAAAATTCCTTATTACCAATGAGCAGGGTACGGTAGCCAACAATCTACCTGACAAGATTGTGAGCATCCATAGCGCATACGGTGATGGGAGGTTTGGGAAAGAGACAAACTTTGCTTAGAGTTACAAAAGATGCAAAGCTGTGGAGAGCCATGATTTTCTATAAATATTGTTCTATAAATATGTTTATGGTAATTATTCTATTTCCTCTTTGGTATTATGACTTTAAACGCACTACTGGATTGGCATCTTGGTCTCACCATTTTAAGCTTGAAATGGCAACATTTGTTGTCAAGCTTGTAGCAACATTCGAAAGTACTCGGGGGAAAAAATGAAATATAAACAAGTATGAACTTTAGTAAATTTACAAAGTTAATAAAACATTGGATAGTTAAAATTGTGTCGATATTATTCAAGCAAATATGCTTTAGTGTCGAAATGCACTTTACGTATAGCAGACATTCGTTTATCTCGCGCGATGAAGGTAGCACCGTGTTTGGTCAAAATTCAGTCCTTTTGCGGGGAGAGGGAAGTGACGTCTACAGGGCGAGGGCCTGGGTGATGGTATATTGAGGCCGTGTGCTGTCCAAACACTGTCCCGCTTCTCGTCTGTGCTGACAAGATCCAAAAGAATACAATACATTTGTGGATGGCTTGGCAGCCGGAGTTGACAGAAAGTTATCAGTGTTGACAGCCCTCGGAGCTCCATACTATGCTTTCCCTCTGGATTTACTTCCAAACCCTTTTCCGTTTATTGGACATGATCTCAATGCAAGCGGATGTTTAAAACTTATTCAGCTCGAAAAAGTGAAGGTTGGAATTGTTTTGTGTCAGCCCCACTGTGTCTTTTCAACTGAGCAATGGTGAGAGGAAAATCATTCCTATTCTGACTTCCATCTTCAAAATCCATTCAAGAACCATCAAGAGAAAAGTGAATAAGTTTAAAAAAGAGGGAACAGTAGCGAGAAAAACAGGATCAGGAGGTCACAACATGAGTGTTACGGGGTCCACCCCTTTTTGATATAAGGGGACTCGACCAAAGTGTTACTGGGACTGCTGCCGTTAAATACCCTGAGTTTGTCAGAATATACGGAGATAGAGAGAGATTGGGAGAGTGAGCAGAGATTGTGACTGAGTTGGAGGTAGAGTAATAGTGTGAGGTAACCGCTTGTAGAAGTCACAGTTACAAGCACGTAGACTCTAAAGAAGTCCTACTTCGAGACTATATCTATATATATTATTATTACGTCTAACCGCGTTCCTGGATTTACTAACAATATACCCATTGTATTATTGTGTGAATACATTTAATTTCTTATCTTTATTTCTTGTGTTTGTCATTCATTGGAGACCGAATTTCATCTCGGAATCCACAACAAGGGGATTAATTGGAAAAGATCCAACTCAATTCATAAGTTTGGTCCAGTAGAGAGGAGGTTCCACTATGACAGTTCAATGAGCGGGGAAAAAACACTTGAAAATGAAATAGTACCTGAAAGCTGTCAGGCACCTTCCTGGTGTCAAGAATAAGTGTCCTTTTTGTTGCCATTGTCTTAAATACTTCGTCGTTGCTTAAATGGTATTCTCGTCATTTTCCTATAGAACAACATATCTGTTGTCTTTTTTTCCTATTATTTTTGGCCATCATTCACAGCTATGTAGGAAGACTGATATTACGTAGCAGTTCAGCACATTATTCTTTGTTTATAACACACATTTTCTTTCTTAATACCTTGCTTATCTTTTGGAGACATCGATTGCTATTCTAATTTCGGTGTTATATTTCTATTGCTTCAATTCCATTCTTCATCTGCAAGTAGATTGTCCAACATTCACTGCCACACACATACACACACACACACACACCCTATTCAAACGTTACTTTTAGTAGATACCTTTGTAAGCACAGTAGACGTTAGTCTACCTTCTAGCACACTCAAGAAATTTAAAGAAAATGTGCTCTCCGACAAAGGTACGAATTTCAATTCCCCTTGGAGTAGAAGACATTGTCTAATCCACCGAGCTTTAGACAGCTCAGCCACACAGAGTGTCATGGAGCGACACGGTTCTATCATTTAAAGGAATGTACATCCCTTCCATTCGGGTTCTCTCGAATCCCATATCAACTTGATTTTGTATCCGATACGTAAAAAAGAAATTCGAAATAATTAATATATTTATTTTTAATGCGACATATTTATGATACCAAACACTATATTTGGTACATACCAGTGTTTGAATAGACGCCTTGTTTCTGTTTTTAGACAGTGGCTTCTGCGACAAATAAGTAACTGATAAACGAATACCGGATAGCATATTTACCTTACTTACTAGGTTTTTATATCCGGTAGACGTATTACAT